ACGTTAAATTACAACTTTAATTTGTAGTGACAGTAAAAGATGAGGTTCACGTTATTAACAACACACACTGATCTTAACATGTATAAATGTGGTGTTTATTACGATGAATACACTTTTTTTATAAGAACACATTTTATAGGAACACTAAGGTTGAAATTGCTTAAAAATTAAGAACAAATTGAGGCTGAGGTAAAATGTCAAATGAAAAATTTTACGGATTCTTATAAAAAAAAAGTGTAGTAGGAGAAAGCCTCTATTATTGTGAAGTGTTATCGATCTTCGATTTTAAACTATTTGCTGACCAGTGTAAATTAATGCAATTCTGCTCACAATCATTAATTCATTTGTGCATATCAGTTATATCAGTTATAAGGATTAGATTCAATATCTGGACTTGAGGGTACTATTTGGAAACTTCACCAACGTGATGTGGTGTTATACCAGCTGTTATTTGGTTTTTATTCGTAGAAATATTTTCTATTTACCGCCATGCTATCGTCGCTTTCATTTCCTTCGTCCTTCATTTAAGGTTTCACAAACATAAACAAATCCCAGCGTGCATTTCGACCAGCTGTTCTCCAACTCATTTAAGTGCTAATTAAAGAATCATCTTTAATGAACTTTCACTTTATAATAAAACACGCACTCTCGGTAGGTCTATGTTGATTTCAACAATTTCATAATGTCTTTTCATTTTTTAAAATTCCATATTTTGAATACATTAAATTCTCTTTCCTGTATTTGGTATTCACGATGGACTTTCTTTTGTGACCTTTTAGCTTTTGTGACGCAAAGCCGTTGTGACGTTTGAACTTATCCCATTGATATGAATCATTCTTTATGTTTTCATGTAGGCCAACTCTTGTTTTTGAGAACGCTCTATATTGTTTTTGTAAGTAAACTACCCCTGTTGAGAAATAGTTATGATTCCTGCGTTCCTTTCTATCGTTGTCACTTTATTATTTGTTAGTTTGGCTATGGCAAAATATTTTACGGGAGTAGCAAATGAATCATTGATAACAAAGGCCTGAATAATGGTAATGAAATATATATTATTCTTTTTATTGTTTATACATATCTGTTATACTCAATTTTAACATATATTATCGTACCCTCCCATAGTGTAAAATAGGCCTACAAAGGGAACAAAGGTAGAGGTCTGTCTCAAATGTCCAGTTAACAATTACCGTAATAATTTCAGTCATACTGTTGTTTCATAATTTGTTAATATTGTTATTTATAGCATTCATTACTACTTTCCTTACGTTCCCAATCAACTGGTTAGAAATTTCTAATATTGTCCCGCCAAAAGAGTTAAAAGTTGTTGGACGTTGAGGGCAGTAGAACGTCTGTCATTGGAAACTCTTTTACATTATATGTGACTCAGTAGGTTGTTAACTTATGTAATAATTTCATTGAGCAATTTATATTTTAATTTTTGAGGTTTTCTTGGTTGTTTGGGTGCCAGTGGGCCTAAGGAAAGGACACTGATATTTCGCTATCGTATGATCCCAAACAGGTTGATAGAAAACAGAGCAACATAACAGGTTATTTTTCTCGTTGAGTCAAGGAGACGTCGAATTCTAGTACTACCGCGATTTTTCATGTACTTTCTGTCGCCAATATTTGGTATGGCCAATTTATCATGACAATAATAACCAGGCCATTGGGATATATTCGTTCGAGCCGGGGCGCGCAGCCGGGGCACGACAGCAATCGGTATAAATTACGACCGATTTAGTGTCCGGGTGTATTTTTTATTCAACGCTTGTATACCATTCCTAGTTAAATGTTAAGCAAATACCTAACCGGATGACTGGATATGGAAGGTCAAAATAACCATTCGTCAGTCTATCAACATCAAACCGACATCAAACTTAATACACGTGATGCCATAAAATGAATCAAAATAGTTGATGATAATTAGCCTACCCATCAATCAATCCAGAAATTCAGTCAACTATCAGTGGCGGCAGTACGGAGGGGGGAGGGTGCTAGAGCCCCCCCCCCCCCACGTCGGGGAAGTTAGATTCGTCGTCGGAGGACTAAAAAAAAACACCAACGCGTTTGTGCGTTAATTACAAAAGAAACTCGTTCAGATATGTTTGGCGAGTTAATTTTAGCCATCATCTGAAATACTTTTGCATCTCAATTGTTACACACGTATAATTCAGTGATATATAATCGAAGTCATAGCCCTACTCTCATCACCTGTTTCGATATGTAATATAGCGTAGCTGTGTTTATTTTTGCTATTTTTTAAACACTTTTGTCGTGTCAATAATGTCCCTGCAGTGAGGATAAACTGGAGAACATTAGGAACTGTTAACCACAAAATTGAAGGTTGATGTACATTCTTCGGTGATTTGTCACAAGTCCCACATGAATGCAAGTTCAACAGAGTGTCGATTGTACATATGATTTCGACCAACGTAACTCAGCATTGTCGCTACTTAAAACTGTCATTTGATATAAATTCTTCAAACCCCCATCAAACCTTCTGCAAAACTTTTTTTTTCACAATAGCGTACAGAAAGGTAGTCCTACGCCTGTTATACCAGTTACGCATACGTTTTTTACAAGGGCCCTTCCGCTACTTCCCGACCTTGGGTATTGCTAAGTGTTAGACCATAAACAGAGCGAACTTGTATGTTTGCGGCACATGGGCGTATTTTTGGCCATTCCGATTGGTCAGTTTTTTTATTTCAGGTTCATTATCAATATAGCTTTTTTGATAGCTTTAATGTTGGCGTATTTTACACGCCCTCATCGTTTCAAATAAGTGAACTGTCTGCATACCAGATATTGATTTATGATTCTCTGCGCATGTTTGCAAGATAATTGCCGGTGATAATCATGATTTAAACGGTTGTATGGGGTCAAATGAATAAAAATAAGTACGGAACTGAATTACAGCGTAATATGCCAGACACCGCAAATAAATGAGGAGACCATATTATTGCCATGACTTCTTCGCGTTATTTAATTAGGTTTATTCCGGTTTTGATGGGCCCACAATTAAGCTACTGATTTGCGATAATGATTATGGAATTGAGAATCATTGTTTCGAATAACTTAACTCAGGGCCAATCAACCTACCAACCTGTAGGATATACCAATATCATTTATGTTACACCTTACAAATTATGAGGATATTTTTTTCGGCCTCTTTTCATCTTATTGGGGTGAAACACGCGGGGAAAAGTTATCAAACACAACAGAACATTATTGTATTCACACACTATGTCAGGGGTGTATCCAGGATTTTTTTCTGGGTGGGTCGTAATCATAATTTTTTGGACCTGTTCACAATGAAATTACAGCAAGATGTGATTAAAATGTCAATACAATTTTTTTTAATAGAAATTGCTAGCGAATTGACACAGACTGAAGACGTTCATTCCTTAGTGAAAAACGTTTCTGGAATTGAGATAGATTACATCACACAGTTGGCAAGGTCTTTGGACTCATTGCTGGTACATCATCAATGCTTTTTCATTTATGTCCTTGTGGAAAGGCCCTAGAAAAAAAAATGTCTGGAAAAAATGTGGACCTTTGAAAATTTTATGGGGTCGTACGCCCTTCCCGACCTCCCACCCCCTTGCATTCACCCATGTATGGTCCAAATAAATACAGTGAAACTGGTACTCACGTGAATGTAGTATGACGTAAGTGGCCGTATGTAAATTAGGCATGTACGTGGTTTTATTAATCCCACGTGCTGACTTAAATAGCGATGTGCGAATTTAGAAATACAAACGGTTAGCAGAAGCTATGCAGCACCGGGTGGGAGATGGGAGTATGCAGAAAGATGGCTAGCTTGATTGTGTGATGATCATATGTACAAGATGCTTTTAGTAGTATGGACCTGAATAATCGTGGTTGGTCAGGAGGTAAAATCGAAAAAGACCGAACTAAACAAATAGTAATCTATTGATTGATAGTGTGCCTCTAATTACTTTTGGGTAACAAGTGCGATATTTAAACTAGAAGAACCTCTTACATAAATAAATTTTAGAAGTACTTTGACACGATCGTCCTATTATATATCGATAGCAGTCTGAAAAAAAATCACAGACCACACTGGATCCTTGTTTGAATTCCACCCATGGTTACTTACACAGAAATTTTATACATATACTCTTCGCAAATATGAAAAGTCATAAGATAACAATCTAACGCGCTGCCGCTCCGTGAGGAAATGGGAATCCCTCTATGCAATGTCAAATGCTGCTACCTACAGTTGTTAAGGGTCAGAAAGTTAGAAAAGCAAACGATGGTGAAACCGAGACCTTTCCCACAGCTTAAAATATATTAGAGTGACTGACAGGTAACGAAAAATGGCCTATGAACAAATGATTATCTTGTTTAGTGATCGTTATAATAACATACTTTTTCCTTCAATAAGTAAGTCCTACAAATTCTGTATTCATCTAGCCAAGGAAATGATTAAAACATAATATGATAGGAGAAATTGATTTTCCTCCTATACCTTTTTTTTGCCCAGACTTAGTGTTCTTATTTTTTGCCAATTTCAGGCTCAAAATGTTCTTCTATAGCTCTTATTTTACACACTTTTTTAAAGATAGAACACTATTATTGTACGGTTATGTACTGTATTATTGAGGGACATAGTGACACCTACTGCACATAAGGTACAGATAAGATTTGTGGGTTTTCTTTTTAACACCCTCATTTGAAATTGTCCTTATTTTGTTCTTATATATATATGTATAAAATGTGTACAAGTATACCGGTAGTTAATTCTTAAGGTTTTACAATTATATCATCTATCTTTTCGTTTTCATAATTTTTCGATGTACATTTTCTTGTTTATATTTATAATCGGAATGAGTGAAATATTTGTCTTGAAATCACTCGCTTATTGAATGTCATATAATACCGGACTGTTTTAACCGTCAGAATAACATGTTATAAATAATTTTAATCAATTTTAAACAAGTATTGAAATATTATTATGCTCCTTTCTTGTGTTTCAGACGGGATTGGAAGCATCTGGAAATAGTCTTTCTCGACAAATGGCATCAATGTACAGAACCTTTCAAGAGATGAAGGAAGCCGGAGAAATCAGTGACGTAGAAATTGAGATCGATGAAGATGAACTCTCTCCTAATTCTCGGATGAGTGATACTACTGGCTTTGGATCATATGACGGGTTGACATCGTACTCTGCAGACGATGCCATGGACACAGAGGACGAATTAGAGGAGTATAGTGACTTAGAAACCGATAGTACAACTAGTTCTGGGCAAAGAAAGAAGAAACTGTATAGTCAAATTTCAGTCGAAAGGCCAGATAATGTTAACGAGAAACGTAAAAGATTAACTCATCGTAAGCGACAATCTTCTGAAATCCAATGTGAAAGTGATACGGATTCTGAGTGCGAAAATGGGCAATGTTCCTGCTGTATGTCGCGAAGTTCTTTCGGATCTGTAACACCGAGCAAACGATATTATTTTGAGGATCGATCCCGTGCTGACGATACGTCTAGTAGCTCTTGCAGTGATTACGAGGAACCTATTAAACGGAACGCAATGCCCTTGCACGAGCGTCACAGCCCATTCTATATTCCAGGCCAAGGCAACTCTTCGAGTGAGGAAGAAGACATGTGCCAAGAAGATATGCAATGTCTGCTGACTCCTAATGACATAACTAAAGACTGTCGCGATGGAGACAGTGAGGGGTCTCTTCAAAAGCGGCTCAGTCCACTTGGGTGTGAAAGCCCGATACATTACGACTCACAAGGAGGTATTATGAACGCTCCGTCGGGAAATGAAAGCGAGGACAAGTCATTGGAAGACAAAGTTAAAGAGTTAACTGTAGAACTAGAGCATTGCAAGGAGGAAATGAATAAAAGGACGCAAAAGAGGAAGAAATCTAAAGGAAACGAAGACGGTTCAATTGAGCAAATGAACAACAACAATTTGCCTAAAGTGACACAAAAACAAACAAGTGACAATGAAGCAGACTTGAGTGCAAAAAGTGAGTCCACTTTGAATTCTGGTAAAATCTCGGACAAAAGAAGACTGTTTGAAAAAGACATAAAGAAAGATGAACAAATAACCAAACCTGTCCTTAAACGAAAAGAATCAATAGGAAACGCAATGATGGACCGATTAAAAGCTCAATTTGAAAGTTCAGATGCTAAGAAATCTGGAACTCTTCGTGAAAAGCTTGGCGCGAAAGGCAGGAGAGACAGTATACAAGACAAAATTAAGATGCTTGAGCATAAAGTCCAAGAAGAGAGTGACAAAAGTGACAGTAGCACTTTAAAATCGTCTTCAGAATCTAGAGCTTTACAAAAGCAAATGTCAGCCAACAGAAAATTATCGAAAGATCTGAAAAATTTGTTTGAGAAAGATATGAATCAAAATGACGTTTCATCAAAGCAGAAGACATCGAAACAAGCAGTGATTGTAAATAATCACCGCGAGAGTCCGGCTCAACTCCTGCAAATTCCTGCAACTGAAAAACATTCGAAAAAGTCCATCAAAACTGCACAGGAATCAAAAACAAAAGGTACTTCCAAACATGCTGTCAAAACGCCATTGAAACGAGAAACGTCTAAGGAAATTGCCCTTAAACAAGCTGAACAAACACCAGATGCCGATTACGAGCAAAGAGACAAAGTCGCATCTAAGAAGAAGTTTCAAGAACTACAAAGCAAGTGGCAACCGAAGCTTGTGGTAAAATCGTCGGGGAAACAACCTAAACCAGAGCTACAGAAACGGATACAACGCCTGCAGAAGGCCGCCCTCAATTCAGGAAAACCAGGAAGTCCTAAGATTGGCAGACGCGCAGTCTCTAGAGCAGTTATACATATGAATAAAAAAGAAAAGAAGGAAGAGTCCAAAATTATGGAATTTAATCCTGATTCTGGTGAGGTAATCATTGGACAAATGACAGAAACCGATAAAGATGGCTACAAAACCGTTAAGTTGCGTGGAAATGGGTTAGTTGTAACTTTGAAAATTAATCCAAATGGAAAGAGTGGCAAATCTGGAGATGTTGAAATTTGTCCAAGCTGCCACAAACATACTGACAAGGAGTCCAAGAAGGATGTAGCAAATGAAATGCGCATTGTCGTACCACAGGCTCTTCAAAACCAACACGTAGTACCACAGACAATTAAGCACCATCGTAAACCATCTGTGCCACAGACGATTCAAATTGAACGTATGCAACCACAAACCTCTCAGAACCAACGTAGAGTTTCAGTTCCATCGAACACACAGACGATCCAATTGCCTGTTAGAAAAATGTCAACAAGTTCTATAACTACGTACATAAACGAACCAGGCCCTTCTGTTGGCCCAGGTCCAAAATACATAACCGTAACACCAAGTGAAAACTACACTAACCAAGCGGTACCACGTGTTTACGTTAGACCTCACCAGATGAACGCACAGACTGGACAGCAACGGATCACAGTCATCCCCGTTCAAGCAGGAATCGGTGATTGTCCACGATTCCAACTAAAAAGCGTCAGCAGTGGTGGGAACACTGTGCAGCTACAGAAGTCCAAGTCTACAACAAGGTACACTATACGCAACCCCAGACAGCAGTTTACGTGAACCATACCTCCATGCGTGAACGATCATTCAACATGAAAAATAAAGAGACAAGCTGAAAAGTGGTTGCTAGGCAATATTATTTTGGCGCAATGTAAAGTAAAGAGAAAGCTGTACAGTACTTAATTTTAATTTCTGAAAGGTTTTTATTTAAAAAAAATTTTACTCGTCATGTATTTGATTTGCGGCAAAAAAAGTACTTATTTGGAAAAAAAAAAGAAAACTTAACAATGCTTGAATTTTAGGAAATTTTTAAACTTGTAAGAATGTATGACGAATTCCCTGAGATTGGACGATGGTAAACATTATCAAATAATAACGTGGTACGAATAGGGGAAAAATAGGAAATAATACAGTTATATACAAACTTGGCGATAGCTCGTCATTAGAGCAACTGAATGGGTACCGTACTAGTCTTGATGGGAAAAACACCTTTCTCATACAGAATTATTAATTTCAATTATGTAGTTATTATTTTCCCGTATCGTAGACCTACTGTTCTTATAAACTGAACGCATAGACCATAGTAGTAGGCACTAGGAAAGTTGAATACATTTACTTTTACATTTATTTGGTCAATCTAGGCCTATTTATCTTTAATAATTGCCAAAAGCAACCTATGTGCTCTAATGGAAACGTTTAGTTCTACGATCGTGTCTTCACAGACTGCATAGTTACCAACCTGAGAGATGCGTGACTACACCAGTTGACTGGGGGACGAGCCGCTAGGGCCTCCGCTGAGGAGTCCAGGGGCGGAACCCCGGTGGGGTAAAACCCCGCCTTTTAGTTACATAATCAACAGTTGTGGCAATTAGCCCGCAAGTCCGCCCGCGCCTCATAGATTCTAAGTGCGTGGTTGGCTGGGTTTTGGTAGAGAAAGAGAAATTTTGTCGGTGAATTTATTCTCGAATGAGATAACGAAAGCACTCTTGACTCAAAGACTGCATGACCATTTTTATATCCTTAATAAAACAAATTTCTTCTAATTTTAAAAACATTTTCCACCGAATTCGTGATAATTCGGTATCACGCATAGACTTGTGCTAAATGCGTGACAAATTTATGATCACGCATGTGTTTCTGCAAAATGCGTGTTTCATCCAAAATCACTTTGAAATGCGGGACCGTCCCGCGTGATGCGAGACGGTTGGTAACTATGCAGACTGTATGAGTAGGAGTACGGCTTTGCTAGAATTACAATTTCTTACAGGAGTATCGGTTAATAGCTGAAATATAATGATTATTGCTTTAATCACAGAGATGATGCTGTCCAAATAATAAATAGGTGAATTAGATGGTTATGACTGTAGCGCCCTCAACGCCTCTGCTAGACCACACTCCGGTGAATTTGAATTCAACATGCCAGTCTATAATACTTAGGATGATCGTTAGAAACTATAATAATTTTAATGAACAAGTTGACAAAAGCTTTCCTTTGATTTTATAGGCGGAAAAAAAGAATATTCTCAGAAATTAAAGCAAAATTTCTCCCATTTTTTGTGCAATACCAGAGAGGTCTAATTAAATGAAGAAACAAATTCAAGTTTGGTTCTTCATAACTTCTCATTTGACTTGACAAAGTTTATTTTAATTTTTTTAAGTGCAATGAATGATCTAACTTGTTCTAAATATACATGTAATCGAGTATTCCTTGGCAGTGCATTGGGCTTGAGAATACAGAAAAGGGTAATATGATTTGAGGTGTAATGCTGGGGAAATACCTTCAAATGTAGCACAAACTTTGAAAGTTAAAAAAAAATCTATGCATAGGGCATAGGTCACTCGGGTGTCACATCCAACTTAGATGTGTATAAGAGACAGTATATATATATATATATATATACACATACATACATATAATTTTAAATATCAAACTATATTGCATAGTTTTGTTCTATTTCTAGTAGTTTTAAAACATTTTAAAGGGTTTTTAAAAACATGAGTAATTCTTCACTTGAAGTGTTTATATACAATGTTCTCAGGTAACATAAATAGTTATAACAGGTTTTCAATTGCTGTGTAAATGGAATAACTCAACACTAAGCCCTGCCCCTTGGATACTGTTGCTAAGGTGGACTAGTGCATATTCCTGGCCCTGTTCTGATTGGTCAGTTAAGCTTGATTGACACTTCGGAAAAGTCCATAATATTTAAATAGGCCTCATCTAAAACAGTTATTCATCACATTAAACAGTATTTTCATCAACTTCTTTGTAAATTAAGTTATATAAGGTGCTCTTAATTTAGTATATAAGAGATGGTCCTCTTTTGGATAATTTTAATCACAAATATATTGTGCTAAGGTTAATATAAAAGGTAAAAAATAGTTAATCAAGCTTGTGGTGCTGTATGTGCATGTGTTTACTCTGCTGGATCCTGGCGGATATCAATGCTACACACTGACGAGGTCACCCAGGGAAAAGAAAGTTTTGAAAAATGCAAAATTAAATACAGTTTTATGAATTCGTTCTTACAGTTATTACTAGAGATAAACAATATACTGCAAATACTTTTAATTATAACAAAAAAAAAGTATAGTGTAGTTCGTAATAAAGGGGAGTTTTAGAGTTGAAATTTCTATTTAATGTATTTTGATGAATTAAGACGTTATTGGTAAAGGTTATCACAACTTCTAGCTCGGTTGTGAAGAACGCCAAAAAAAAAAAAACCAAAAGCAAATTCATCTTAATTTGCCATAGCCTAGGCAGTGAATTCAAGGACACTGATTCTGCTTATTGATACACATTCGGAAAGAACTGAACTCATGAATATTAATGAATTCTTTGAGACTACCTAGCAAGTGAAGATTTGAAATAATATAGTATTTATTTTTGTATTTATTATACACTATATACATTTTCATTATACTCCAGAACTCCCTTTTAACTCACAAAGAAACAGATTCATGATATTATTTATTTGTTATATCATGCATGTATTTATTGGGTTTAAAACCATTTTTATATAAAACAGTTGCATTTTTTAATTAAATCATGGATACAGGCCAGTACCTCAGTAGTAGTACGGATTGTAATTTGGAACAGACATTTTCACCATTTATGTTATTGCTCTAAAAAAATAATATTTGTTAATAAATATTGTACTTGCATGAACTTTGGGATCAATTATCTGTTTTCGCCACACACATTTTACAAATTGATTTATTTCAAACCTAATGAAGTTATATTACAATAATATAATTAAAAATAAAATACATAGAGCATTTAAAAACCAAGTTCTTAGGAATTAAAATAAAACTAATGTTAGATAGGCCCATGTTCAATACACGGTACAATTTAAACAAGATACGAGTAATACGTGCTGCTCTCACATAAGTACTGCATTAAAGTTTCCAAAACAGAGATACGGTAAGCGTAGCAGCTACAGTACATAGGCCTACAAACAACTGCATAGTTAAGGAGATATTTGCTATGGAAAGGATCATATAATTATAAAATTCAACTGCAATGTAACTTTATTAATTTTATTTCCACATTAAATATTTTAATGGTACAGTAATTATCAATTGATAATCAGAATATAACGAAGCAATAACCTAGTGTGAGTATCATCACAACAGAAATTTCAAAATATGAAAATAAAATTCAAAATAATAATATAACAACAATAACAACATGACCATAAAAATGTATTGCTAATAACTTCCAATGTTCACTTGATGGAAACAATAATACTGCAAGTACTTTCTTTGGTTGATATTTAGTGCAATTGACTTGTACTAATTTTGAACATATTTTGCCCTGAGAACAACAGTTGTTTGATGAGAGACTTGCATAATCAACTCATACTACTGGGGCGGATGCAGGATCTAGCGGTATGAGTGCGTGAGAGACCACACCACCTCAGCCCGACCATGGTTCAGGCTGAGGTAAGAAAATTTTGAGAATAAGGACCTCTAGGTGGCACTCTCATACATTAAAAATCTTATCGGTAATTTATATCAACAATACAATACAATACAATTATTTTTTATAACACAATTTAGGGGGGTGCGATCACACTGTCTGCATCCCCTGCAACCACCCCAGTACTAGGCAACAATCTCAACTTGAATACTCAGCTCTATTCCTGCCTCAGGAAGCCATTATTTTTGTTGATTTTTATATTTCTTTTATACTGTTTTCCTTTGCCAACTATCTACTCTTCCTATTCTGTTTGAGTTCATCCAACATACAGTACCCACAAAGATCAAACAAACTCTATAGTGTCAAGAAAAACCCCTCCAATTATGGACCAATTTTCTGTGGTCCCAAGTGAACAAATGTCTTTTATCTTTATTATTCCAATTAGAGACCAAAGCTGCTAAGACCATGGAAACTCAGTCCCAAAAATTTTCTTTAATTGGAGGGAGACTTATATAAAACAAATACAGTATTCAATAAATTTCCAAAAATTGATTAATAGTGTGTGCGCCCTCACAGCTCATCTCTATTAGTGCTTGGTGGCAGAAGAGCAGCAAACAATTCCATCCAGAATTTCACTTTATCTTCTTTTAAATGTTGGGCCAACTCGGGTGTCACATCCAACTTCATAAAGTTACCCTCGTCAGGATTGTAAGGAGACCAATCAGGGGCCATAGATATGACCTTTGGTTCAATACCATTAGGGTCTCTGCCAAAACAAAAAATCAATTGATCAGTATGGAAGTTTGTGTAAAGCATTTACAATTTTTGTTTGCATATTCGTTTACATATTCAGGTTTTTGTATATAGTACAAATAATTTCCTCGAGTCATTTGCATTTACACCACCTGCTTTGAAATTCCTAATCATCTGCTATCAGGTTGAATTCAATATTTCAATCTTTATTATACAGTACCTGTATTTACATGCTCTAGAATTTTGCGCTATGGTTTATAGTATTTCCACAGACCTACTATACAGCTACTTGATTATAGAAATATGTAATTCCCACATCTTACCCATATTTTGCAAAATTTGCCCAGTAAGTCATCATGGTATGAGTGAGCTCAACCTCCTCACTAGTGTAATTAATATGTATTTGTTCATCTTGATTCATTAATGGGAAACCGATAACAAACTTCTCTTCATCGCCGTGATCTGCTCGCACCCACTCAGGGCTTGCAGCAAACGACGGTCTGTGCTGGAATTCATAGAAGAATGAAGTTCCACCAACAGCTACACAAAAGAGAAAACAAGAAATTATTACAAGAATTTACGAGGCCATTTGTTGTCACCTACCAGATTAACAAAAGCTGTAAATCAAAAAAATTGAAGTAAAGGAAGGTTAGTTGGTTGTGACACAGTAACTCAGACCTTGATATGAAGTTCAAAATACGTATTTAAATATTATTTGCAGTTTTCCAGTTTCACTCCCTTTTAGAACTATTGTATACATGAGAACTCACAAATATTCTTATATTTCACTTGAACGGTGGAAATACTTGAGGGGGAGGGAGTTAGTAATAGTCTCAACCAGGGGACCCACGAAGCTGGAGTTGGGGGCCCCTCAATGATTAAGTGAGGGAGTGCTATGTTGCAAAATAAGATGGTACAGGTATGAGGTGTTTTTTTGCCTCATACATTTTCATTCGGGGTGGGGGAAACTGGGACTACCACTTACACTACCACTGCTCCCCACACCTCAAAAACAAGATTCAACCAAAAGAACCACAAAAGTTTATTTATTTATTTTATTATGTGGCGAGTACTGTATATCACTGTTTGGTCATTTAAAAAAAAACATGAATTCAAATATTATTACCATTGTGAGCATTAGCAAACATCACTGCAGGGGTCAAGAAGAAGCTGTCACCTATGACTTCTGTCAATTGCATGAATGCTTTGAAATCATCTTCTTCATTGCCTAGATATGTCTCTGCAATCTTCTTCACAGTATCTTGATTATCTCCTGGCATCACTCCCGAAATCTAAAGTGTGAAGGTTAATGAGATGCATGTTTCATGACAATCATTCATATGTCGAATTTAATTGTTTTTCACATAGATGATGCTTATGTATATTTTTTTGTGCACTTCCTTTTTCATTCCATTTGGGATTAAACTGAGTACTTTCTGGAACCTTGGAAAAATATGACATTTTCTAGAAAAAACAAACATGAAAAAAATATGTAGGTCTATTTAAATTAATAAATTCTTTGGCAATATTTCAATTTTCTATTCAATGTTTTTTTTACAACCACCTGCACCCTCAAGAGAATATACAGAATGTAATTTTGAAAATAGAACTGGATTTCTACTGTATTAAGCCTAAAAAAAAACATGAAAAAGATTTACTACAGTATGGTGTACTTTTGAATATGGTGTTATTTGTCTGTACATCTCAACTTTGGAATGTCATTTACGCACAGTACATCAAATTCATTGCACATATTTGTCCCGGTTCTCAAACCACTGACCAAAAATCTGTGCATTTATTACGAGACAATTTTTAAAGGGTATAATAGTGATGAAAATTATTTTCCTGTTACACTTATCAATTACATTATAATGTTGTATGGTCATTCAATCAATCAATATTAATCAATCAATGAATTTTGTTCATAACTGAATGTGTCACAAGCAATGAACCTAAAAATGCTTTCATGTTCCTTAGATCGAAATTTATGCCAAAAACCATTACGTTAAAGCTCTACAGAGAGCTAAAATTAGATCAGGAATGTTCACAGGAAAGAAATACTGCATCCACCTGTAAGCTACTGAGTAAACAACTCACATTATATTTATTGCATTGGATTTATTTATGACATTTAATGTACATGCAGAGCATTATTTTTCCCATGAAAAAAGGTGTAGAAAATGGGTGACATTATTAGATTAGTTGTTGGCACTGTGCTGCATTTTCTTTGAGGAAAGAGGGAATAATAGATTTTTAAAAAAAGGAACATTAGCCAAAAAAAGCAGAATGATAATTTAAAATCCAGGTCGGTTTTTTTTTTCTACTACAAGCCTACTTTAGGCCTAATTCTTGAGTTCATCGGTAACCATCAATCACCCCATGTATTTTGCCAACCCTAAAATTTTGAGATTTTGGGTTGGTTGATTTTCGGGGCTTATTAAGAGATGTGAGGAAAGAAATACTATCAAGAAAATGTACAGGTAGGAGTCGAATACCGCATTGAAGAAAGGGAAAAATTATTAGGTATATGGCAAAAATTATTAGGAATTGAGTAATTGGAAAATAGTATACTGAGGTAAGAGAAACTACATTAGTTTTGTAGAATGGGTCAGTACTGGAAATACAATAATATTGAATATTTGTGCAATATATAAAAAATATTTGATATTAATGCAAGGGGAAATAACCTGGAATACTGAAAAAATAAAAATGTATATTGAAAAGTGTTTTTTAGCAACCAAAAAATATATTGATTGATTGATTGATGTAAGTATATATGGATTCTACAATAAGGAAATAAATGACAACTAACCATGCCCAAAAGAACTTGTTGAAACATGTCAGCTGAGAACTGTGAGGTTAAATCTGGTGCAACTCTAGTTTTCAATAATGAAAATCCACCTTCGTGGTTATTCACACCAAGCAAGATGTCATTGCGATGAAGCATCCCCTTGGATACCAACACAATAGGATCATCCACAAGGAAGTATTTATCGACAACTGGCGTAAAGACCATAATTGGTTTATCAGGTGCATCAAGCTTAGCGTAAACTATCTCCTCGGCTGGCTTTTCAAGCAAGCACTCGATTTGTTGCTTTGTCGTTTCACTTGCACATCCTAGTTCCTCAGCAAGGACAGCAGCCCATTTCTTTGGATTTTTTGAGTAAGCTAACGGGCAGTTTGCCAAACCACTTTCCATAATACCCCTTTCAAAGACGCCACGGCTATGCCGCGATAAAAAGTGGAAGCCTACACTCATTGCCCCGGATGATTCTCCAACTATGGTGACCTTAGATTGGTCCCCACCAAAGTACTTAATATTTGATTTGATCCATCGCAAAGCTATATTCTGGTCAAGCAAACCGTAATTCCCTGGGGCATTAACGTCCTCCGTACTCAAAAATCCAAGAGCACCCAGTCTATAATTCATAGCAACAAAGACAACATTCTGATAGGTTGCATAAGCTGATCCATCATATGCACTCGCTCCCCCGTTCATAAATGCCCCTCCATGAATCCACACCATTACAGCTAACTCTGCTTTGCGGTCAAGTGTTGGAGTATAAATATTCAAATATAAACAATCTTCATCAGTGTCCATTCGTGGAAAGTGGTAACTTGAAAATGCATTGGCTAGAACATCAACGTTTTGAGGACATAGGGGAGGATAGTTGGTAGCATCAAATTCACCATACATTGGTGGCAATCGTTTCGGGTACGAGAATCGTTGATCTCCCACAGGCGGTGATGCATACGGTACTCCAAGGAATGCATAAACAGGTTTAGTGCTTTCTGCTGCATGAAATACCTTACCCTTCATTGAGACATAGCCCATTTCAACAACAGGTGATTCGTCACATGAACACCCTGTTCAGGAAAAAAATTGTACAAACTAGATTCAAATATTTCAGTAAATCTTCATTACAGGTAGTTTGAGTTCAATAATATCAAATTTACCATAACTTACCTCAGATAGGATTTAGGAAGATGATTAATGATAATCAATGATAAAAAGAAAGCAGTGGATACTGTTACACCAGTCTTATTCTGATTGGATGGTCGGCGTCCCAATCAGGATTTGGCTTAATTAAGATTGGTGTATTAATTAGTCACCATCAATATTTAATATCTAAATTGTATTACTTAATGTTTCATATTATTTTGTACATTCCAAAGTGGAAAATAAAATTATGAAAACACAATCCTAACATTTTTAATTTAGTACCACAGGTCTAGGCTACGTCAGGTCAGTGATTGATAAACAGCTACCGTTCCTGGCCACAGACAGGTACCACTGGCTTCATTCAGTTCAGTTGGAAATTTAGGCCACTATAAATAAGGCCTAGTATTAAGTAGTACAGGCTAACTAAACCCCCCTAAAAACACTGGATAAATGTAAATATAAGATGACGCAAGACGTGCATGTCACGTGGATATTATTAACAAACTTACATGTTAAAGTTAAAATGACTATTATAAAAGAGAAGTAAAACATTATGATGAAAGTTCTGCACAAAAAGAAAACACCGGGTGGTCACGCTTCTTCAAATCGCAGTCTTTCTAAACATAACCTTTGACTTTGTTCTTATTTTCAACCACACTATGCATTAATGGATAAAGTACATTTGTATTTATTTCTTTAAATAACTAGCAACATCCAATTTTTCATAGCATCTTAGCATTGTATCAAAGGTTATATATTATAATGTAGTATTTCAGTAACTGTATGTCGTTTACAAAGCAAATAAAAAGAGATGAAACATAGTGTGTTCTCACCCGAGAAACTTCTGCGATCCTGGGAGTTCATAGGTGGCGCTTTACACGTGGATTCGCCCGGTGTTTCGGTAAGTTTCATCATACTGTTTGTTAACAAAATGCGTGATTGCATAAGTTTTCTGCATTGTCAAAATATAGAGTATACCTATATTATTTGATATAGATAAATTAAAATCCACACATTACTTCATTTAGTCGATATAAGCACGTATTCCAACCTAGGCCTAGGCCAAGCCAGACAATGCGGCGTGGATCCTGTCTGTGGCGATTTGAAGCAGCTGCAGCTTTCTGATTGAGACTAGAAAGTTGCTCATTCTCCCTACTCAACTTTTAAGCCTAGGACTGTGTTTCTTTTGAACTGATTTTCGTGTTCCACGGTCTTTTACCCAAGGAGGTACTACTTCACCTAACTATACATTCTTGTCATTTACTTGCCTGGGTAGTTAGGTTTCTATTCTATATTTTTTTGTAATAAAAATTAGTAAATTTTTAGAATTTTTGATTGCTCAAAAAAGGGGCAAGTTGGTTTTAAGTAAGTTAGGTACAAGTGTTGATTTATTATTTGAAAGAAGGGAAAGTTTGTTGTCTGTCTAGAGAATCAAGTGGTCTAATTTTATGAACTACAAGCACCTTAATCCTCACTCTGCGAAGTATCAAGCCCTCTGTAGTAATAGTGATAGTGAAGATATGGTCAAATAAGCGGAACCTTTAGAAGACTCGAATCATCAAGTAAGAATCAAGTAAGTAAGTAAGAACTTATACATAGATTTTTCTTTTATTTATTAGGTTTTGTATTAAAACAACATTTGAACCATGGTTGAAGCTGTGCCTGATCATATCAACTTCCCAAAAGAAGAAGAAAAGATTCTAGAACTCTGGAAGGCGATTGACGCCTTCAATAATTGTCTGAAGCAATCGAAAGGCAAACCAAGGTAAATACAATGTAAAAATGAATTTTTAAGTTTTAATGTGAGTAGATGGTACTGAATATATTTTCAGTATTGTAAAGTTTTTTGAATAATTGATAAAATCACATTTTGCAGGAGGAATCTTAAGTTCTTAAGCTCAGTACAGACTATCAAACTTCATTTGACAAAAAAAATGTGAAATGCTTAAATATGGTCATAATGACATCACATCGGGAATACATCAATATCTTTTATCATGATGCGACTAACACCGCTACTTTTACTTACTTATTTTCTTGTATGTCAGGTACTCATTTTACGATGGCCCACCATTTGCCACTGGTCTGCCTCATTATGGTCACATCCTAGCAGGCACCATTAAGGACATTGTCACTCGCTATGCCCATCAGAATGGATTCCATGTAGAGAGGCGTTTTGGCTGGGATTGCCATGGTTTACCAGTGGTGAGTTTTTTTTTTTATTACGAAGTACCAAGTAAAAATCTTCAATCTTTTTAACACAAAGCTAACCCTCTAATTGGAGACTAAGCCACAAGACTGCCCCACATTTACAGGCACCAGTGGTGGTCAGGAATTGGAGGGCAAATTGTATGTCTAAGACAAATTTAGCTCTTTCCAGTCATTTACAACTTTTATACAGAAATTTTTTCATTCATTTAGGAGTACGAAATTGATAAGAAGCTTGGTATCACAGGCCCTGAAGATGTCATGAAGATGGGTATCACAAATTACAATAAGGAATGCAGGCAGATTGTAATGCGGTACTCAAGTGAATGGGAGGTCAGTATTAAAGTTAATTATTTGACTAACATTTGACATCGCCTAGCTGCCAGTATGAAAGGCCTCGAATAGGCCTATGAATTTTCTGTTTGCTACTAAGTGATGCTACTCTAATTTTGACAAACGTTTTGTAATTTTTTTAATAATAAATGGAATAAATACTCGGCAAGTAATCATTACAACAATGTTTGGTTCATGCAACTCATAAGCCAAATTGCCGTACTATGTTGCTGTCAGCATCCATCGGGCAACGGGCAAATGCGGTAGGGTAGTGTATAAAGCTTTCACGTTTCTTGGCCTAGCGCGCTTGCACTTGGCAGCCTCTGAAGAGATAAGACAAACATCACTTTAAAAATTGTATGAATATAGAAAAAATATAATTTCATAGATTTTTATATTTTTTATCGATTCCTAATATATATAACTACTGTATGACATATGTGAATTTCATCCATGTAGCTTTCATAAAAAAAATAAAACCAGTATCCTGTTTTCCCATGCATTTCTCCTATACTTTTGCCTAAAAGGGTAGGGCGTCACCAGTATTTGATTTAGGCCAATGTAAACATTGAAAGGGGTCTATAAATAATGCATATGTAGTAAAAAAATTTAAATCGTGGTTTTTTTTCATCTTTTTTTGGCATACATATTGTGTTACTACTGTTTACTATTTACGAATAATATCATTTTAATGATTATGATTTCCATTTTCTGTCAGTTTATTGTGAATCGTTTAGGGCGTTGGATCGACTTCAAGAATGACTACAAGACCATGTACCCCTGGTTTATGGAAACCATCTGGTGGGTGTTTAAACAGCTCTTTGAAAAGGGCCTAGTCTACAGAGGTTTCAAGGTAAGAACTAAAGTCTACTTTAAACTCAACAGCCAATCATAGAACTTACATTTCAGGATATTCACAAAAAGCATAAGATAGGGGATGTGAAATTTCACTTACAAATAATAGAATAAAAAGAAATTTGTGTGTGATATTATTTTTATTAGTTAAAACTATGTTTTTTTAACAATTAGGTGATGCCCTTCTCAACAGCTTGTAGCACCCCCTTGTCAAACTTTGAGTCTGGCCAGAACTACAAGGATGTAGTAGACCCTGCAGGTTAGTGTGTGTAAATGTAGTTAAAAAAATTTGCAACCATTACCACACCCAATAGGTAAGAGGAGACAAACACAGGTAGAGTGCCTTGCCATGTATGCAACTAATTCGTGATCTAACAGTGGCATATCTAAGGGGTAAATCTTTTGGGATTCCAACTGATCATGAATTCCTGGATGGTTCATTGTAATTAAATATGTTTGAAAAAACTAAAGCATATGTGCCCTTAAATTTAGGATCTATTGGAATAGGTGGTGGGGTTGACGAGGGGACACCAAGGTGAAGTTGGGGCTTGATAATTAAGTAAGGGGTGCACATGCCCTCTTCCCCCTCTCCTATTGAAAATGTTCAAAGGAAACAAAATCACACTCAGGTAGTTAAAGATCATTTTATATAACCTTATTTTACAAGCTAGGATCTATGATAGGCCTACTGGATTACGGGAATGCGTGAGATAGGTAAAATGGGGGCAACGTGGAAAGCACCATGCAATATTTTTTTATGAGCGCCGTTCTCAAATAAGCACCGCACTGAAGCCTCCAAAAATGATATAAGCACGATAGTGCTTATTCAAGTATTTATGGTATTTTTTCATTGTGTACTCTTTCAGTAAAGGGATGACCCCCATATTCAATTTATAACATATAAGACAAACACATATTTCATATAATAATTATTTCTATATTTTTTCAATGTTAGTAATTGTAAACTTCCCACTGGATGATGACCCAAATGTTTCGGTGATCGCCTGGACAACGACACCTTGGACATTGCCTAGCAACCTGGCCTTGTGCGTCCATCCACAGTTGGACTATGTCAAGATCAAGCATGTGAAAGATGACAAAGTCTATATAATGATGGAAGCTCGCTTGGGGGCGCTTTTCAAGAAGGAGAATGAATATGAAATTCTTGAAAGGTAAGGTTTCATATTAGAAGTATGGTAGATTTTTATTATAATTATTTTTATTATTTTTGTATATAGCTTGTAATTATTACACGTTTTAATGTATTATGAGCGATGTGATAATACTATAATAAAAAAAAATATAGTAAGAAATAATTTTAATTGTGTATAAATGTTGCAATTAGTTATCTGTAATTATTAGGTTTTGTTTTCTTAACAGGTTCAAAGGTAGTACATTAAAAGGAAAGAAATACAAACCACTGTTCAACTACTTCTTAGAGGTATGATAACTGCATTTTATTAATTTAAAATCTTTTAGTGACATTGTGAAATTGGAAGCAAATTATGTTGATTTTCTGCTTAAGTCAGTGCAAGGACATAGTGTACATTACTTTAAAAATATAAAAAAGGGATTGATATCACAAAGTATAATGTCTATGAATAAAAATAAAAATACTATGCATATAAATATATGTGTAAATTTAAGACTTTAATATATGATAATTGAATTTAGTATAAAGAGAAAATTGTTTAAATGTTTTAAATGTTTAGTTGTGTCTGAATGTTTTTTTTAAATCAAATAAAATAAATATGTGAATATTAATAATAAAAAGTTTTGAGAACAACATGTTATTCCCATTTGGATTCAAACTAATCATAATATAGAAAAATCATGTACATGAAATATAAACGTATGATTAAATTGTATGATAAATGTATTTATTGCAAATTTCGGGATGCATCACATTCAGGATGTATAATCTTTTCACCTGATTTTACAGCTGAAGAAAACTGGAGCCTTCACGATCTGTAATGACACGTATGTTACAGAGGACAGTGGTACTGGAGTTGTCCACCAAGCTGCCTACTTTGGAGCTGTAAGTAGTTTAATCATTCTTGTTTCCACAGATATTTGATCAATTAAGTTTTTGGATCATTTAATATGTTTATCAACAGTGCCACCTATTATATCTGAACAGTGTCCCTTATCTATATTTTTGGATAATTTGTTCAATTTGGTTTTTTAATATATCTATTATAGGATGATTACAGAGTGTGCTTAGAACATGGCGTCATCACTAAAGAAATGATTGTCTGCCCCGTTGATGAATCAGGCAAGTTTACTCAAGAGGTCACAGACTTTGCAGGTCAATATGTAAAGGTAATGTTTAATATAAAATGACTTTTTTTTGTTCATTTTAAATTTTTGTATTAATATATTTTAAATTTTGTAACCTTTTTTGTTTGTATTTGTTTTAACCTATTGCCTATAAGAGAGCATTTAAATTATACAAATAAAAGAATTCTAGTTTGTTTCACTTAACTTCATAATTGACCTTTAGCCTCTTGTTTGATTGAACTCTCACCCTTTATGCTTCACCTCATCAGGATGCTGATAAAAACATCATTCGCTGGTTGAAGCAGAATGGACGTCTGGTTGATCAGAGCACATACAAACACAGCTACCCATTCTGTTGGCGATCTGAGACCCCACTCATCTACAAAGCTGTACCGAGTTGGTTTATCCGGGTTGAGCCCCTTGTAGAGAAACTGCTGGCTAATAATCAGAAGACGTACTGGTAAGATTTTTTTTTCCTTTGACTTCAATAAATTGTACATTCTAATCGGTGCACATTTATTTTACTGTGTGGAGAGGAAATATCACAGAAAAGTTATTCGAACCCAGTATTTGTAAACAGATCGTGTAAGTTATACATGGAGTAATATGTAGATGCATCGTTGTTGTTCTAATACGTACAGTATTGAGTGGACTCTGAAATGTATTTTCGTTATTCCTTAGATAATAAATGTGATTCGGTTGAATTTACTGCACTGCCTCTGATTCAGTTAGTACACAAAGTGTCATAAATATACAGTATATAATGGTCACAGGCCTGGGTCACTACCGCTGCACCCCCTTTGCCCACTTTGCAGTACAAACTGTCAAAGATTATTGTCATTATATGTATTCTTTCAACGGTTGTATTTTAAAATTTTGTACAACATGTAGGGTACCTGAGTTCGTTAAGGAGAAGCGCTTTGCAAACTGGTTACGTGATGCTCGTGATTGGGCAGTGTCACGTAATCGATACTGGGGTACACCGATCCCGCTGTGGGTTAGTGAAGATTTGGAGGAAGTTGTCTGCATTGGGTCTATCCAACAACTTGAAGAGTTGTCAGGACATAAAGTCACAGATCTTCATCGAGAAAAGTAAGACAATTAGCTTTTAACATAATGTTTGCTGTCTTTTTATCACAACTATTAGTTTTATATATCTTGAAATCACTGTGTATTTTGTAGTAGCATTAGGAAAGTATTCAAATCAGTTACACATATTCAAAATGTATAGTATTAAAATGTATAGTATTGTAAAATTCTTATTTAATAAAATGCTTTTATTTATTTAATTAAATATTTGTTTTATAAATAATAAGGCAGTCACATGTTTATTATCAAACAATTTAGTATCATAGCCTATCACTGGCTGAATGAATGCTGGATGTTCATATTTTTATTAGGCATTGTAGGAATGATTTTGACCTTAAAATTCTTAAAAGTCTATAAACAGCTCAAGCATCATTGAGAAACTAACTTACTGAGTATTTTCTTTCTTGTTTTAGTGTTGACGGCTTAACCATTCCATCCAAACGTCCAGGACATCCTCCTTTGAAGAGAGTGTCAGAGGTTTTTGACTGCTGGTTTGAAAGTGGAAGGTAAGAACCCCTTCCCTCCCCCTCCCAAAACAAACATTACTACCTTTTATGTTTTCAAATATCTATTTTCTTTCCTCTGAACTTCACTTTTCCCTCTGTTTTTTCTACCAGCATGCCTTACGCTCAGCAACATTACCCATTTGAACACAAAAGGGAATTTGAAGACTGTTTCCCGGCGGATTTCATTGCGGAAGGAATTGATCAGACCAGAGGATGGTAAGTTCATAAGAGTAACAGTGATTTGTAATCTGTAATAATAATAATAATAATAATGGTGACTTATAAAGCGCATATAGTGGAGACCTCTATGCGCTTAACGTAAATCCACCCTTTGTTCAGCTATATTTTTTTTCTTGCTGGGTTACCATCCATCCTCCCACCCAGCGGCCTCTAGGGCCGGAGATGGGGTTGCCAGTTAGTCGCCGGTAGCTCGAGTGGATGCATTTTAACGTCATACCCAGGACAACTAAAGCTAATCTTAACTACCTAAAACTAGCTTAAATTGAAGGAAAAATCATCCCTGCTGGACACCATTCCAGTATTTTAATTAACGTTTTTGGGTTAACTTGAAACAGTTAGTTAGAAATATAGGAATTGTACTGTGCTACACAGATATTTGTACAAGAATTTGTTCACTAGTCATTTGAGTTTGAAAGTGAACACCACATATTGTTTCCTTGTTTAAAGGTTTTACACACTGTTGGTGTTATCCACTGCTTTGTTCGACGAACCTCCTTTCAAGAACCTGATAGCAAACGGTCTTGTATTGGCTTCCGATGGCCAGAAGATGAGCAAACGCAAGAAAAACTATCCTGACCCGTTAAATGTGGTCGATAAGTATGGTGCTGATGCTCTAAGGTTAGTTAGGTTCTTATAATTGGCTTCCACAAAAAGCGAAGTTCATTAGGGCTTTTGTATTTGCTCATGTTCTTCATGTTGTTGGGTTAAGGGAGGGCGGGGGCATGGTGGGTGTTGGTGATGTCCTTGGTGGTATGTGTAAATTCTTTATTACCACAATAACTGAATTTGCGTCAAGTATTAATAGTTTTAAACCTGGCAGAATACAATTCCATAATTAATACTTTGTCAATAAATTTACATTGGGTATAGATAATTAGGTAAGACTTCTATCATTCATCAAATTATTATTAAAGTTGTGGAAATAAATATTGTACAGTGAACTCAAGTACACTTAATTATGATTTTATTATGTTGTGTTTTAAAATGTTCAAATATTTCATTTTGGCAGACTGTATCTGATCAACTCCCCTGTTGTGCGAGCTGAGAGTCTTCGCTTCAAAGAATCTGGAGTTAAAGACGTCTTGAAAGATGTATTTCTACCATGGTACAATGCCTACCGCTTCTTGATTCAAAACGTCCAGAGATTTGAAATTGTAAGTTTAACATTTTGGAGTATTCTATTTATATTAAAAGATAGAAAAATATATAACACTTTACCTTAATAAACTGACTGCTGCTCTTGTTTTTTGCTAGAACACCCCTTAAAATTAATAGAACTATCCATGTCAGCGCATTGCATGTTCATGCTAGCTCCCGTGTTTGTCTTCATTTTGATGAACACCTCCAACAATAGAAATACTCTTAAGAAGGAAGAGGTTTATCTGTATCTCTATCGTCCGGTCTGTAAACTACTTCTCAGCATATCACACCAAATTTTTTAAACTCGGACACTCATGGAGTGGTCAGCTTTTTAGTTATTAGAATTAATGTTAAATTCTGTTTTCAATTATTACATCTTATTTTAATTTCATTCATTTATTTGTTATCCTATTTTCGGTTTTGTTTTAAGTATTTTTCCTCAAGACATTTAAAACTGTTTATGTTTCTTGCGTTGATGGCGTTGGTTTTCTAATGCTTAGCTCGAATTGGTGTTTAACAAAATCTATTTTCTGGTCCTATTTAGGAGGATAGTGAGGTACTGATGTTCAACGAGGATGAATTTATCCCAAGTGGCAATTTTATGGACAAGTGGATCCTTTCCTTCACTCAGAGTCTCATCAAGTTTGTGAGACAGGAAATGGCAGGTAAGATTTCATTAAATATTGACTAATCTCCTTGAAATTAATAAAATACAAGAGGAAATGGCAGGTAAGATTTCTTTAAATATTGACTAATCTCCTTGGAATTAATAAAATACAAGAACTATTTTTCTTTTTATACAAGGTACATAATACATAAATACATACATGCTTTTTTCATTGTAAGAAAATAATATACAACATATTTGCACTCTACTTCTTTTATGTATGTTAAGCATACCCGGTTACATGATAAGCAAAAAGCAATGTATTTTCAATTCCAGCTTATAATATATATAAATATCAATCAAGAATTTGTTAGAACTGCCTTCCATCCATCATCTCTGTCCATTATGAGTGCAGTATCAACATTTCTTGGTAAATTATTAACTTTTTCTAGTTGATCCAGATATGTCAAGCATGGCCTTTTTCTTTTAAGTTGACCATATACAGGTTGCCAGAACAATATCTTGGAATTAATTTCTCTCTTACTTTATAACAGCGACCTGAGAATAGTAATCTGCGTTTTGTAAGTATTTCAGTAATTGGTGGTATCTCAGATTATAGTTCCTCATTAGGAACATGTTCTGGAAAATTAATATTGAGAATGGGTCTCAGCAGTCGTATGTAGCAGCTATCAAGACTACGTTTCAGTGCTACTTTATGGCGAGACTTTTTTTATACCTTGCTTAACAAACCCACCACCCGCCAGTATTGATGATTGAATAAAAATAAAATTTAATTTTGGCTAATTAGCGCACCCGCTGCCACAAAAAAATGGAAATTTCAGAAAAAAATAAAAGTTTTTTCTTTATTTGTATTACGCCCTCCGCTGCCTTGAAATCTCCAAAAATAAGATATGTATATTTCTTCTTAATTATATAAATTTAAAGCATTTAACCATCCCATTACTACACTGTTTATATTCAACAATAACATTTTTATTTTCTCCTCCCTCTTAATGTTTTTGGCTAAATCCTTTGCTAAATAAGAAAACATTTTTTTTTTCTTCCGCCCTCGGATGATCTTTAAAAAAAATAAGTTTGCGAAACAAAAGGTATAAAAAGAGGGTCCACGTCTCAGCATTATACAGTTCTTCTATAATATAACTTTATGCTTGTTCGATTTTACAATTCCTCTACATTGTTCCACAATTTAACAAAATAGTGATAGATTTCTCTGCAACTAGATATACATTACATGCAGCAGTAAAATCTGGTTGTCAAAGAGGGGGGGGTTATATATACAGCTGCTTGCACTCTCTCACTTCACAAACTTGGGGAATCGGCAATGTAACTACATGGCTAGTGAATCAATAAAAAAAAAATGACCAAGTATAGTTTTTGCTTTATTTTATATTCTAGTTCTTTGTCTCTTGATTTTACAGGTCTCAGGCTTAAGAAAATACAAAAACTTGGGCTATGTTTATACAGTTTATGGCTTGTTAAATTTTCCAATTCTACTAGATTTTTCCACTTAGCAATTAACAAATTAGTGATAAGATTTCTTTCCACATAAATGTACATTACAAGTTACAGTTGAAACTGGTTGTCAATTAGTTGGTTATATTTACATTTTCTCACTTGTCAATCACAAGCTGGATTATCGACAACGTTAAACTGCGTGGAAAGTGGATACATTTTTTTAAATGGCCAAGCATAAGCTTTGTTTAAGACATACCGGCTTTCTATTCTAGTTCTGTCTTTTTTTATTATCTTACAGCTTACAGGCTATACACAGTCATTCCACAGTTAGTCAAGTTTGTTGATAAACTCACCAATTGGTATGTGCGTTCCAACAGGAAACGTATTAAGGTGAGTGCTTTCATGACTGACTGCACAGAAAGATATTAATGCTACTGCATTGTAGCCTGTCGTCCACCAGATGGAATGTTTAGTTGTAGGTAATTTCAGTAGGTTATACAGTATTATGTTATTATATATTATATTCTATTATACCTGTATGTTATCTCAAACTTCACAAGCTAGTAATTTCTGTAACTATGTCTTCAAATTTCCGTAGTAAATGAAAAATGTCCATAGAACCTAATAATGTTCTTTGAGGGCAAGATGTGAGTTACTCAAAATTGCTGGTAACAACAGTTGTAGCATTTCAAACAAACTGGACAGATTGAAGATTTATGGTCACTTTTCTTGGGTTTTACAATAATTTATCAGTGATCTGACAAAGTCTTGGGTTCTTAGGAACCAATTAGCCAAAGGTCCTGATGGAAAAATCATTAGACCTATATATATCTGTCTCTTATACACATCTAGATGTGTATAATTTCCATAATACAGTGTATGTCCATAATTAGGCAAATTTCCATAGCGACTACGGACGTTCTGTAGAACTTGAAAACTCTGTTATCTTGCATTGTTATTATATTATTGTGTTGACATCAATTAAAAATATAATTACATACCTGATACTTGATGCTTTTTTCAAGTTTCATATTCTATATACTTGAAATGAAAATGGTAATGATAAAAATTGCAAGATGAAATTCATTTCAAATGTATACATTGACATTTGACAATAATGTGTATCTTGTTCCTTGTACAATGTAGGGTGAGGGCGGTGTTCAGGATTGCAGGCATGCATTGGAGACCCTATTCATGGTTCTATTTTCAATGGTGAAGGTGATGGCACCTTTCACTCCATTTCTAACGGAACTTATCTACCAGAATCTACGTAAACTTGTTGATCCCGAGAGCACAAAGGGGATTAACGTCGACAGCGTACACTACCTAATGATTCCGAAACCAAGGTAAATATGAAGATGGAGAAAATATCAAACCAACAATATAATTTTTAAAAGTGAAATAATTTTGACAATATATTTAATTTAAAATTAATTAAATGATTATTAAATTAAAGTATTAATTAAAATAAAAATAACTACATAAATATACTTAAATTAATACATCAAAATGTAGATTTTTAATGTCCTTTAGCTCATCATAGACAGTATGTGGTTAGTCTGTTTTCTTTTTTATAAATTTATATCAACCATTAATTATAACATCTCATCAATAGGGAAGATTTGATCAACCCGGACATTGAACGTGCCGTTGCACGCATGCAGTCCACCATTGAGCTTGGCCGAGTTATTCGAGACCGCAAGACCATGCCGACTAAGTATCCGCTCAGGGAAGTAGTGGTTATTCACCCTGATGAGCAGTGTCTAAAGGACGTAACAAGTCTAGAACAGTACATCTTAGAGGTTTGTTCACTTAAATGAAAATATATTTTGATAATTATTTGTATTAAATCAATTAAATTAATAATTAGTATATTAGAGATTGCCTGTGTACAGTTAGTATGGGCAACTGATGATGGTAGTAGAACACTACTGAACCATAGGTGGCGGGGGGCGCTAGGTCCACCCGTCGGGCAGGAAATCACAATTCGTCAGGGATGAAAAAAAATGACATGTATTTTCTACATATTAGTAAACTCTAAATCGATTAAATAAGCCTTTGAAACCCATAAATTTCTAAAGATTTTGAGCGACGCCCAACCACGCCAACTTTGCCCTCGTCAGGGGCCCTTGGACGCCCTGTCGGGCAAATCCTGGCGCCACCCTCCTAAGAACTGTTGTGCTGGTATTAAACTTATTAGCAGTCTGCTGCTGAATCATTCTTTTGGTAAAATTAATAGAATAAAATGTATGTTTGTAATCACATTGCACGCACACACAATGAATGTATGATAGAAATGTCACTCTTGCTTCCATGAAGAAATGTGTCTGTTTCAACACTTTTTCCTAGGAATTAAATATACGTAGCCTGACAACGTCGCAGGATCAGTTAAAATATGGTGTCTCACTGAAAGCTGAGCCAGACAGCATGGTCCTAGGAAAGCGATTAAAAGGCAGCTTCAAAGCAGTGTCACAAGCCATCCGAGAACTCACAAACGAGCAACTGAAATGCTTCCGTGAGACAGGTGAAATTGATGTTTTAGGCCACAAGCTTGGTGAAGATGACCTGCGCTTGACATACACATTTGCACAGGGAGTCAATGGAGCTACCTCAAAGTATGAAGCCCATTCTGACAATGAGGTAAGGCCTGTCTAAAATATCTTTCAGCTCATTGCATAATCAATGCTGTGTTTTTATAGTAATAATAATAATCATGCCAAAGATTTATATATCGCAAAATGAATAATCAAAGGCACTGAGTGTTATTACTTCTGGTCAGTGGATATCATGTAACTGCAAACCAGCTCAAATTGCAACCTTCTCTGCTCCCTGGGAAGCATACCTAGTCGTGCACGTGTACTCTGCGCTTGAAACTAGTACCATCAATGCCACAACATCCTACCAGGAACCATTTGTAGTCCTGGGTAGGGACATAAATCAAGTTTTGCTTCTACGGTCAGCCCCTCCAATTTTTTTTTTTACTCTATGAAATTGTTAGAATGTTTTTCTTTGGTGAAATAAAGTGAACCTTGATCCCTTGACCTCAAGGTAGGGAGTCTAAGCCACAACCAATGCACCAACCGCTTCTAGTATTAATAAGGGCTTATTTAAGGAATATTTAAGTTAAAGTCTAGATCCAAAAAGCATTACTTGAATGTTCCCCAGGGAGGGGATATTGTTAAAACACTTGCATACATGTGATAGACAAAAACTACAGTATAGATGAAGTGTTGATGTCTTGCCCAAGGTCACAAACAAGTGTGATCATCAATCTTACAACCTGTGAGTTGAAAGGCCGTAACCTTAGCCCTCTGCCTCACACTTTTGTAGATAATATTTTGGCAGTTTATAAAAGGAGTACGTCTCTTGTAGGAATGATATATATATATATACATATATGTATGTATATATATATATATGTATATATAAATAAATATATGTATATAAAATACATAGTGATATATATATATATATATATGTATATGTATATATATATATATGTATAAATAAATATATCTATATGTATATAAAATACATAGTGATCAGTATTTTCAATAAAATTGATGCAATCGATGCGGTTATAACAATTTTGTTTTTGTTTAATCAAGAAGTGTTTTATAATTAACTTTTTTTAATAATAATTCTTTTTCAGATTTTAGTGCTGCTAGATGTAACGCCGGATCAGTCAATGTTGGATGAAGGCATAGCAAGAGAGGTGATTAACCGCATCCAAAAACTACGAAAGAAGGTACAGATATTCAATTTTATTGTATTGCAGAGAAAATATTTTATTATTGATTTTATAATATTATTTCTTATTGTTTTTATTTCTAGTTATTGTCTTCTATTTTTGTTGACAGTGTATTAAGCATTGCTTCGACAATGAGTATCATGTAACAATAATCCATTGGTTGCCACTGATGATGAGCACTGGCTTTCTCAAAACATACGTACTGTCTTAAGAATAAAGGCTTCTGTCCTGTTCATAAAATGCCTCATTGTTTTTGTAGGCTCTTTCATAGCCTTGTATATAATAACAATAATCATAATAATGGATTTTTAATGTGCACATTTCCAGGAAAATCTATTTCCAGCGTCACAAACAACTAAATGGACTTCATGCTCAAAATTGGATCGTTTATGTTTTGTAATAAAACTAATTGCATGTTCTGTGTATTGTTGTAGAATAAATGAGAAAATTTTTTTTGTATTTGATCATTATTAATTATTTGTATTATATTTCCATTTTAAGGGTTATTATGGATAAATAGACAAAGGGAACTGCTGTGAGTTAGCTTCATTGCTATTGATTGTGTTTCATATGTTGCTTTTCTCTATTTAATCAGGCAGGCCTTCAACCTGTTGATAAGATTGGCATTTTCTATGATGTTGAGCCATCTACTGCAAGTTTAGCCTCCATTATTCCCAGTCACTCAGAATACATCTTCAACACTATCAAGCAGCCACTTAGTGCCTACCCTCCAACAGGAACAGAAATCATCACAGAGACCACTGATGTAAGTAGGGAAGGGTCAAAGGTCATCAGTTGGACTCAGCAGCTTGTTGCATTACTTCATTTTTTTTCTCTATGCAATTTTTTTTTATTGCTATTTCTTATATTTCTTGACTGTAAAGCACATAGGCTTTTAGCATATGTATCAGGTTGGAATAATTATTATTATGTATTTTTTTCTACATTCAAAATGTGGATCTTTACTTGTCAAATTCTAAAACTCCCACAGATATGAAACTAAAACACTCAATTGCTCATTTTAGACAATTAAATAAGTTATCAACTTTCAATATAACACAAATAGAAACAATTTAATTACAGACATTTTATTACTAATATCCTTGAATTGATTACCAAATTAAAAATCTAAATAATACAAGTATTAGCGTCCGTGCTGGGGACAGTGGTTCCACATTCTAATTCTCAATTGAAGGCTCATAACCTTCTTAGATATTAGAAAAGGCAATTTAAGTGCTAATTGTTACGGTTTATTGATTAAACTGACACAGTATATATTTGGTATGATATTTTGCACAATGCTTCTCAAAACCTTTTTGGGTAAATGTAAACCTATAAAGCTCTGTGCAGATTGTTTGTCAAACTTTCTTTGACAAAAAACATTTGTATGCCCATATATAGTCATGATATGCTTATATATGGTCATGATGTGCCTATATATGGTCATGATGTGATGTCATCATGACCATATTGAGGCATGTCAAATAGTCTGAAGATGGCTTAAGTCATGAAATTTATATTAAATTTTTTTTTAACCTAAATCGCTATTCACCTGTAAGCTACTTGGGGTTTATTTTTTTCAATTCTCCGATCTCAATTTACCAACTTGATGTCACTTTGTTATCTATACTGACAATTTAATTAATGTTCTTAGCTCAAAGGAACCAAATTGAAACTGACCATCGTAAGACGAGATGGAGACGACAACAATACTTCTTCTACCTCAAATGACGTACAAGTTAAGAGCATTCCTAAACCAGAAACAAATCCAGCATGCCGCTACATCAACTTAATGCTATGCAATGCTAAGCCTGAGACTGGCTCAACAAGTTGCTTTGGGTCTCTGCTCCTGGAGAACCCCAAAGGGGAATCCCCCATTGGCTATGATGTAATGAAGCAGCAAGTTCAAGTTGTATTTGGCCTGCGAGGGAAGGTGTTGAAAATTTACAAATCGCCTGATCAATCTTCAGGTAGGTGCAATTTTCACACCAGTCCAGTATCTTCATGACAGATTTGTGATTTAACCATATATGGGTATAATATGATATCATCTTGCCCATATATAGATGTAATATGACATCATCATGCCCATATATGGATAAATTACAGATTTTCTTGGTAGTGTTGACATTCTCTTAAGCCTTGTCCAGACTTAGCGAATTTTATTTAACAAATCATGTGACATACCTAAATATGGTCATGATGACTTAACATCATGACCATATATGCACATTATGACTATATATGGGCCAGAACAGTTATTTTGTCAAATAAAACTTGATAGTGTGGGCAGACTTAATGAAAATTATAAACTTTAGCATCTTTCTCATTGTCATTTTCAGTATTTTTATTTTATATTTGATTTTTTTTTATTGATGAACATCATCCAGTAATTTTACTTCTTCCAACAGAATTTGTGTCATCAGACTTGGGTAACCTAGATGCATTGTCTGGCTCAACGCTTTACGTGTTTGTGGCATCGGTGTTGTCCAGCAATACTGCAGCACCAGTCAACGCTACAAGCCCTCTATGCCGGTTTGTGAACGTGGAGCTACACAGTAAATCAAACACTAGGACAGGCACAGTCCTCCTTGAAAACCCACAAGAAAATTTTGCAATGGAGTTTGCTACACTGAGACAACAAGTGGATGCCATGTTCAGCCTAGCAGGAAAACCAGTTACCATCTGCCAATCAAATAAGAAAGAAAAAGGTATTTATAGGCCTATATTGTTTTAATGTGTTTATAATCATTACTAAGGCAAACCATCACTTACCCATACATGATAATCAGTGGCAGATCCAGGAATTCAAAAGAGGGGGCTTAGAGAGGGACTTTCACAGATAGTGTCTACACTAAGAAAATTTATGATTAATGCATTTCTAGATGACCGGAAATGGCACTCGTAGACTCAAAATTTGAGTAGAATTTTCTTTTTATCTCAATTTTCTTTTAATTTAGAAAAAATTAGGGGGCCCAGGCTAGCTGGCACCCCCCCCCCCCTTGAATCTGCCACTGATAATCATATTTTTTCATATTAGATTTGAACCTTTTAATTCTTAAAAATACATTTTAAGCTGAATGACAGTTGTACCAAATCTCAACATTCCAGCATGTAGCAATAAAATACTGTGTTATTTATCACTGTGAAAATTAATGTTATTTTAGTATATCAGGATAATAAAAGCTGGGATGTCTAAGGCCAGTTAGCACTAATTTGTGATTTAATCATTAGGGAGGTTTCGCACGCAAACGCAATACGGTTAGTGCGACGGATACGTCATCATTTATGATGTCATACGCCAGTTGCTATCCGCTAAATGTGTAGACGACACGGATATTTCACTTACTACACATAAGTGAAAAAACGCATAGGTAAATTTTGGATTTCCATTAGGATCTTTGTTTTTTTTTTTTTTCACATTTTACAGTGTCAAGTGTAAAAAATAAATGTATCTTTGAATACGTAGTGCCATTTTTGTGACATTTCAAGACAGCAAATTACAATAGCATGCATCTCGTTTTGGGGTATCAAAATGATGGTGCTTGTACCTGGTGGTGTCAGGATTTTTGTGTAGGCCTAAGCCTAGCTTGTAGCCAGGCATTTTTGGGTCATATAAAAACAATAGACCCTATCAGAAAATAACCAACTCTTCTGGGCAGCAAAGGAAGGAGTATTTTTCAGCTACCATTTTCAATTTCAATTTCCAAAACCTTACATATTAAAACTCTAAAAGCATGATATGAGAGAAGAAAATAGAGTAGGCCTAGAGGCCTACGCTAGGCCCTAAGCTAAGGCCCTAGGGTAGGCCTACGCTTGAATTGCGAAAAACACAGAATGGCTACAAAATGTTAAGGATAGCTAAACGTATGCGTACACGTATTCCTTCGAGTTCGAAACCTATCGAATGATAAAATGTACTCGCCCACATGTTTAAGTATTACATGGTATTGCTTTTTTATTCACACCTAATCCATCGCAGAATATTATTTCAAATCAGGACAACATAAACTGGGAGGCCTAATGCTAGTTTGCACCAATTTAAATAGTGAGTTGATGATGAAAGTTACTTGCCTGTATGTTTAAGCATTCCAAGTTGTTTTTTGGTTGGTTTTTTTGTATGCCTCATCAATTATTACATTATTGTTATTCATCAGGGCTCATAAACCAGGAGGCTAATGTTCGTGTGCACTAATACAAAACATTTAATCAATACATTTTTTTTGCTTCACATAAAACTCAATACATCCTAACCTCCTGATCCTAATTTGCACATAATGCCATAATTTGTGTTCACCTCATCCAGAATAGAATATTCCTTCTAAGTGGAGCAGCCTATTATTGATTGTAAAAAACCACTAAATTCACACTGCGATACTAGATTTCACTGTGTATTTATTCCGATCAGGAATGAAATAGATCTTGTTTCTGCTGATTGTTGTTAATCATTTCTAAGCAATTCAGCTACTGATTGGCCGTGGTGTTCTTGAAACTGAAATAGTCTTTGGTTAGCCTAAAGCTATCTGTTTCTTCTAATCTCTGAACCATTAATTTCAGTCCCTGAAGATATTCTGAAATTTATGTAAAACCTCAAGCAGGTGATAAAACAACGTGTAAAAATTGTACATTTCTGCCGCATTAATTGCCAGATTTTTCTTCAGAAACATGATTCTCATCCACCCCCCACCCCCCAACCAAAAAAAAGCTCTGTCATTACCACTGCAATTTTCTAACCAAAAAGTTAACCTCAATCAAGTAGTTTAAAAGCACCCCTTGTGTCACCTAATTTTACATGCTAGCATCTTCTCAATTATTGTAATACTGCAGCTAAACCTTCTTACCCCTTCCCTTGTCACACTGAATATGACAATTTACAATTTTAATACATTTTAACAGGTTTATACACATGATCAGTAAAAGAATGACCAGTGTGAAAAAATAAATGGATGTTTATATATATATGTACATAATGGTGAAGTATACATAATTGAGCTATAGTATTATACCTCCATTGTTATAATATAAACACCATTAAGACAGTAATAATGATAATGAGAAATGTAAACTATGGGCTAATAAAGACAATTTAATATATTCATTAATTAATTCTTGTAAATACTCATAATCAGTGAAAGAATATTCGAGTTGATTCGTGAAACCATGAATGGATAATTTTTACATAATTGGATCTAACTAAGTTTATATAATGTATATAATATGGTCATATAAGTCCAAAAACTATTAATGCAAGACTGCAATAATGATATTGAGTAGTAATGAATATGGGCTAACAATTACCACTAACTTTACCATGGTGGTTAAGAGGCTTTGCTTTGATTTCAAGAGTCCTGGGTTCAAATCCTATCAAGATCCTGAACTGAGCCTCATTATGAAAACTTAGAGTGAACACTAGCTTTATCACTAAATAGACTCCTTAGCATAAATTATTGCGCCACATGAGCCCAAGTAACCTGTTGGCCTTGCCAAAGACATGGTCAACATGAAAAGCAAACGTTAGTTTTTTGTCAATAAAAATGCCTAAGTCTCTATGCCATTCAACATTTTCAAGTACCTCGTAAATCATGTATTTAAAATTAATTGGTTTAGTTTTAAGTGTACAAGAGAGTACTTTGCATTTCTCAGACTTCAGCGACATTTTCCAATTGGTAACCCAATGTCCGAGTTTGTCAAGGTCGGGCTGGAGTGCATGCGAGCTGTCTCTTATACACATCTAGATGTGTATAAGAGACAGATATATATATATGCAATACTGTATATGGTTATGCTGATGAAGTCTTGACAAGACAAAATATTTGTTTCCTGAATAAAATATTTTGAGTTCTACTGTTTATGTGAGGGTTTTAGCATTATTATTTTATTGAAGTGGCACTTCCTTTCATTTAGATACAATTATACAAACAAAAAATAATTTACAAACAGACCAGGAAACAATTTAGTGTTCGTGGTTAGTGTACTAAGTTAATTACGTACATCTACAGAGCTATTATGTACATTAAATCAACAGCTTATCTGTTATCCAAAGGATGACATAATTAAAGTGTTCTTTTATAAGTGAACATGCACACCAAAGCTTAAAACACTCTCTACAAAAAAAAATAATATGAAAATTTTAATCATGAATGAAAGATACATTCTGTGTTGAGCTTAAAATGGGAAGTATTTTATTTACCAATTAACATACTATGATTTCTATGTTCTTTATATAGACAATTGGATTATTTTGTGATCAATTTAGGTTTTCATAGTAATAAGCCTCCAAATTAATTTTCACCTCTGTATCTTTGGTTTTTTTGTTATTTTTTGTATGTAGATCACATTGTCTCACTGGGACAATATTTTTGTTCCTTCATTTATTAGCTCACATCTGTTTAAATATGTTCTGCTAAATACCTGGGAGGCATAATGTTAATATATATATAGATCATAATGCAGATATCCAATCAATAATACAGTGAAATGCAGAGATACCGTTCAAAATTCCTATGTATATTTATACACCATATATTTACAGCTGTCAAATATTTGATTGATTGATTGATTGATTTGTGTCTTTCAGTTTTGATGATTGATTTATTTGTGTCTTTCAGTTTTGACATGTGACTCGGCAAATGATGTCCTAAGTTTTCATGGCACAACACTACACGCATTTGTGTGAAGAATCCGATAAATATCTTAGATAATTAGTAAACTAACATGTCAGTTTTTGGAGCAGCTAACATAGATTTATTATGCTATTAATGTCTGTTACATGATTATTCTGCTGTTTTCAGTGGTTGATGAGTGCCTTCCTAACAAGAATTGTCAGTAGATATTTATTTTTGCCAATCCAATTTTTCTTTTTTTCTGGCTGTCACTAGATTTTTTTTTTTCAATTATCTTTTTTTTTTTAAAGTTTGCAATTTGCCAATTACTGGATGCAATACACTCTGGTGGAAAAGACCACCTTTGGTACAGTGGTGTCCCGGTTTTTAGCATCACTAATTAGAAAAATAACTATCATAAAAATAAGGGATAAGTGCTCATCCAGGGCCCCAAAAAGTGGTCTTTAAATTGGAGGTGGTCTTTATTTGGAAGGGTCTTTAATTAGAGTGAGACCTGTAATTAGACCAAAAAGCTAAACCTGAGAGACCAAAAATCTAGGGTTAGCAAAACTTGATAAAACTCAAAGGAGAAGCACTATACAAATACTCATAAACATAAAGTAACCAATACTTATTGATCCCTGTTGCTATGGGTGTGAGAGCATCTGTAACCTTGGTGATGGTTCCATATCTGTAAGGATAAATGGGTTTGCTTTTTTGGATTTCATTGGATTACCCCAGTGGTTATCATTCCATCGCCCAGAATATAATACATGGGGTCACAGAGAGTAATGGTCAGCCAAGTATTACAATGTATCATGCAATTTATATTTCTACCCATAATTTTAATAAAATATATCTAAATATATAAATGGTTATTAAACACTTTATAATATGATGGCATTTTGGCATCACATATTCAATTTTAATAGTCATAAATTATCTCTAAAATAATTGAATACAATAATATATTGGATTTAAGAAATTTAAATGCTTTAAATAATTCAATTTTGGTAACTTTATAAAAGAATGTTATTAAAGGCATGGGTGACTTATAAATTCAGTCAACTTTTTTAGGAGGCATGTCCCAGTTACTGATTAAGGTTTAAAATAACGTTGGCCTCATAAAGTGTGCTCGTGCTAAGTAATGTTGGAATATATCGTACTTATGCTTTAGTAAGCAAAACTTTATAAAAACAGTTGCTTAACAGAATGAATTGTATTATTGCATCATGAAGGTGTTATAAACAGATGCGGTAATTGACACGGGAAAAGACGAGGAAACAGGGGACTTAAGCTCAGTTAGAACAGGCCAACTCCAGACACAAATAGCAATTGTTTCTTTTTAACTCTTTAGGTAAAGTCTAATACATTCTAAAACAACTCAGAACAGTCTAAGAAAACCCTAACTTTTGTCAGTTTCCGTGGGCACCAGGAGGTGTAGTGTTGTGTTTCAACTGGGACTCACCCATGAACTCTGTCAAGGCCTGGCGACCCCAACTGCTTCAACTAGAAATGTCAGACACCCCTGTTGAAATGCTTTACCCCTCTGTAAAATCTTATTAATCTTACCAGCAATTTTTAGAAGAATAATGATGTAACTGATTTTGTGTGGGTTAGATTTAATATATAAAAGGGAAGTATAGTTGAGCTGGTATAGTGGTTCATAACTTAAAGGTGAAGTACTATACAAATACTTATTAACATAAAGTAACCAATAATTATTGACCTCTGTTCCAATGGGTGTGAGAACATCTGTAATCTTGGTGATGGCAATGTCCATGTCTGTAACGATAAATGTGATTTCATTTTTTGGAAATAAAAGTCTTATTAACAATAAGGAAAATGAAGTGTTTGTTATGGCTGATTGCAAAAAAAAAAATACAAATACATAATTCTTTATTTTGTCAAAATCCATATAAATAAAATCAACAGAATGAAAGTTGAAAAACAAGATAAAAAAAGGAACCCTTGTTAGGCCTGAAAGGGCTTGTTAAAAATAGAGAGGGGACTAAACGAAGCAAACACAATATAGTCAAAATGTAAGATTAATTAAAAATAAATAAAAATGAAAGGAAGTAGGCCTATACTATAAACACTGAAACAATAATACACTTAAACTAACCTACAACTAAGTTAATGTGGAAAGAGATAATATCAGCTTTTTAAATGATATAAATAAAATTCTGTATAATTCAGATATAAGATGATGAATTAATTAATTAGTTGCCTGCAAACAAAAGATATAACAGGTGGTACACTATTTTGTACACATTAATTAGCCTATACCTAATTCATGAAATACATTAAATATGGTTTTGATACATGTTTTTATGCCAATATGAAAAACATTCAATTAAAATTATTATACATCCACCGAAAATAACATGTTGAAAAACCCGCAATAGTGAAAATACAAGTTTTAATTACTTATTTAAAAGAACCACACAAGTTCCATTAAATAACAAAATCGAAAAAAAATCAAATATTTCCAGATGTTTACTAAAACAAAAATCCTTAAATTCGTTTTCCCCGATTTTATTTTTAATATTCAAAATGCGTTTCTTATGTCTAATACTATATTAGCTATTCCCAATTATTTCCCCTACAATTCTTAGAATATTTATTTGTATGATATATCATTTTTCCCTCCTTTTTCTATATCTGTAGGCGATGAAGATATTTTTGTCAATTGAAAGATACTTTGCTTAAATATACAAAGAGAGGAATTAAAATATCGAATTTTATTGTTGGCGTTATTTACTCAACGCAGATAATCCTAGTACTGTACTGTATATGTTTCCAATAATACACTGTTACGCATCGTGACGTCACGACGGGATATAAATAATTAAGAAGGGCAAAACATCTCAAGCTCATTATAAGAAAGTGTAACTTCTAAAAATAGACGGAGCGTCTTGCTTTCTTGGCACGATCGTTTACAATATAGACTAAAAATCACATTTCTTTGACGCACTCAAACAGATCCGACTATTTTAGGCGTAGAGACTCAATTTAATGTGTGTCGTTATTAGGTGATTAAATTAGTGACAATTTAATTTTAACACGGTTGTCCTATACCAAAAAATACCACTGATTTATAAATAGGCGCTATGCCAAGAGTATGAAACACATAATTGTGCTTTAATGGGTAATTGGTAGCATTGTGTAGGTGGAAAAGAAAACATCAGCAATGTAATATGCCTAACATAACGTAACATAACGTGAAATTGGGGAAGTACTTTGAATGTAATGTGCCTAATAATGTTAAGCTTTAATGCGCATAAATCCGCCTGCCCATGCTCTTGAAAAATGTAGAGCAGAGCTCAAATCACTATCGTACTTGACAATTTCAAAGTGTCATAAAATTTAAGACTTTCAAGAATTCAATTTGAAACAGAGAATGGCTCAGATCGATAAGATCAACTTCAAACGAGCCTTATATCCTACAAAATTAAACAGGGTATAGGCCTAAACCTACGTAAAAATCAAATTAGTATAGACCCGGCAGATTACACTATGACGATGACGATCAACGATAAAAAGCTGAAAAGCAATTAATTATATAGAAAATAAAAGAATTGAGAGAATTTTTCACACTAGCACGATTATTCGATAACGATAGTAAGTATAATTTCACAAATCAAATCAAATGACGTCATAGTAAAGGGAAAGGGATAAAATCGTAGTAAAAACGATTTTATCGTTTTCTCATTATTATGACGTCATTTGGCCTATAATGAATTAAGAATGTTATTTACTTCGGTTCTTGTTATCTTGTCTCGATAAAATGTATTAGGTTATTTCAGAACTTTGTAACTGCAAGGAAAAGAGCTATACAAAAAACATGTAACAAGTAGACCTAATCATATACATGCACTATATCGTTCTTTCTCTCCAAGATTGTTCTATGCCTGGTGAAATTGGACTGTTAATCCTGTTATTGGCAAATAATAGGCCTACCGTAGAACCTCGAATAGAAGCCCAATGGCGTAATCTCGAGAAGAAGCCTATTTCGAATTGAAGTCCCTTTTTTAGTTTGCAAAAGTTGCCTCGAAAAGAAGCCCAAGTAGGCCTATCCCTATTTATAGTTTATAGTAGTAATTTCCAAAATTTACAGCATTCATATTGAAAAGAAGCCCCCTCTTTCCTTTACAAAAGTAACCTTGAAAAGAAGTCCATGGAAAAGAAGCCCATGACTTCTACTGCAGATTTTACGGTACCGTAGTTAACCCGTAGGTAGGCCTATATACAGTATCTACATTTAGGTTCACTTTACTTGGCTTTACTATGGTTTCATGTCTAAAAAGAGAACAGAATACACGTGAATGTCATTTGGGAAAATGTGTTTGTTCATTCTCTGACGTAAGCATTATTGTGAAAACAAGTTAAAAATATGTTTTCATAATCTAAAAAATAACACATTCGCACACACGCTGTATTGTTTGTTTATGTGACATGTTAAAAAGGTGTTTTGTGTGTGTAGGTTGCTCGTCTGTAAGATATAGCCCTTTTTAATTTGTATTTTTCATTTCATTTTGCTTTTCTATTGTTTTTGTTTCATTCTCAAGTAGAGTGCACGTGAATTGTATTCTGGCGATGTAGATTGTTTTATGATTCCATTTCTGACGTAAGCATTAGTGAAAAAGTCGGAAACATGCTTTCGTTATTCACTCTTAAAACAACATTAATGTCCCTGCCAATTTTTTACCTCTACGATAGAAATGAAATACAATATAAATGTTATTTGAGGCGGTTAAAAAAACGGCTGAAACATTAATAGTTTTCAGCTGCAGGTTGTTTACTAGTACGATGGACCAATTTCTTAAGTGAATTTAAGGCATGTGATGTTCAAATGTTGTGGTTGTAGATATTTTGCGTCATGGAGTCAATTAAGAGTCGTGTGAGAGTTATTTATCATATCAATAGATATTATCTAGGATACACTCGATATAATTGTGGTTTGTGGGCGTGGTGACATGTTTGTGAACTAAATATAAACTAATTGATTCATAACTGGTTTTTTTTAATAGCAAGATAAAAATTCCACACTTTTTCATGTTTTACGTTTAGTCTTATTCCTCTCTCAACTATTCTCCATTTGGATTTCAATAGTCCTAAAAGAAGTGCATAAACAACCATTCAGCTAACATTTTCTTACGAACTCTACTACAACTGTACTCTACTCTGTCGCCCATCGACAAAAATATAAAATCGTAATCGAAAAGTAAAACCTTTTGACCAATCCATTACCTTCACTATAGAAATGAAATACAATATAGGCCTAAATGTTATTTTAGGAGGTTAAAAAACGGCTGAAAAATAGTTTTAGCTGCAAGTTGGCCTATGGACACCAATGTCTTAATTAAATTATATGCATGTGATGTTCACGCTTTGTGGTTGTAGATATCTTACGTCACTAGTTTAAGAGTCGTGTGAGAGTTATTTATATCGATAGATATTAGAAGATACACTCGATATAATTGGGGTTTTTTTTGTGGACGTGGTGACATGGTTGTAAACTAAATATAAATTAATTCATAACTGTTTTTTTTAGCAAGATAAAAATTCCACACTTTGTTTAAGTTGTTTAAGTTTTAGGTTTAGTCATTATCATTCCTCCCTGAATATTCGATAATTGGATTTCAATAGTTCTAAAGTGTTCAACTTATTGTATTAAATAAACAACCAATCAGCAACATTTTTCTTTAAATATTTTCCATACTCTAATCCAACAGCGCCGCCCATCGACAGATGAAGCAAATCGTCCGATGAATGAAAATGAAAACTTTTACCACCACGACAGGAAATGATACAGGGGTGGCGCCAGCGGGGAGGCCGGGGGTCAAGGCCTCCCCCGTCGGGGAGAAAAAGCACAATTCGTCGGGGAGAAAAAAAAATATATCTATTTTCTACATATTAGTAGACAATATAATCGATTATAATCGACGGTGGCATGAGCCCCACCCCGTCGGTAAACTCGCCCCACCACCGTCGGGCAAACCATGGCGCCACCCCTGAAATGAAATAGGTCTAATTGTGGTTTGTGGGCGTGGTGACATGATTAGTAAACAAAATATAAATGAATTTATTCAAAACTGTTATTTTTTAAAAGTAAGGTAAGAACTTTTCCACTTTTTTGTTTGTTTTTCGTTTAGTCTTATCAGTCATTCCTCCCTTTCAATAGTTCTTTGACAAATCTGGAGAAATAACGCAAATCATCCGATGAATTTCCTCCGATGAATGCCCTAACTTGTTGACCAATCGGCATGCATTCAGCATTAGTATTTACTTGCGAATTTTGCGTGCCATGAAATATTCTCGCGTTTTGTATCCATGGAAATGCATCTTCATGGTTTAACCATTGTTTAACGGCATGGTGCCGCGACGTTGACGTTGTTGATAGCCGCCGTTGATCTTACATAAAAAGGTCATACAAAGAAAACCTAATCAATTAATTTAAGATGATGGACTGAACGCGATTCATGAATCTCCTGAGAATTACGTTTTTAAGTCATGTCACAATTAAATAAGATGTCTTATTTGTTTGTTTACTGAACATATTACACCCACTCAGACCCTCTCGTTAAGATTAAATTATTACAGGGATACAATATAGGCCTAACAATTTTCAAATGCAATAACAATGATTGATTTTTTTTGTTACAGTGCTATAATCATGAAAACATTAACACAGCTAACAATAACGAACTTGAGGAAATTTTAATACTAATAAATTGGAAATTTAATATAATGTCGATTCATTACAATTGCGATCCATATTGGTTGATCGATAGGCTACATGGTGGCGGATTGTTGTCGGTGTAGTGTCTTCTTCTTCTTATA